ATTTGCTAAATCAGGTAGGCTAATGATCAACGAAGATCATTACGCATTGCAAAGGCAATTCTACGAGATTGATGTTTTACCGACGGAGCTTCGATATATATTTCTAGATTATATTCTCCCGGAGAACAACCTGTCGTAGGAAACATCAGCGTAATATCTAAATTATCATCAACAGTTGACGGATTTTCGTGATGTTTGGCCGCGATTGTACAGTACATTGACTTGCAAAAGTTCCAACTCTTTGCAAGTCTGAGCCGAAAATAACGGATGAGGTCCTCTTTCCATATACCTATAAGAAGACTAACTTCCATGCCACGTTTTTTTCTCTTTATAGAATGCTTCAACTTTTTTATAGTCTCCCCTCTTGTCGATTTTCTTCATTTGTTCAACGGCCATATGCGCCACACTACTACAGCTTAATATTGAGAAATGTAACCCTAAAGTAAAATATTGCAAAAAAGCTATTTGAAATTGGAAATTTCAATTAAATTGAAATAAAAATTAAGAAATTAAAATATTCTAATCGAGCCTGGAATTTATGAAATATATTCAGTTTAAACCAGTTGTAACGTAGGGGTCATTTGAGGTAACGATTACCAATTATTGTTTCTTTCAACAAACAAAAGTCTGAGAGAAGTATATTGAATTGTCGGTTGTAAGGGCTACTAATTCAACGATGCGATTCGATTATTTCTAATTCAAGTTATGTATGTTGTGCGGCAAGTTGTCAAGTTATAAACAGTAGATCGAATAGAAATGATATTGTGCAGAACAAACAAGCAATATCTATTTCGAACGCTATTTTTCATTTCACAAACCGCTTGAACTGGTATAACATTGTCTGTGATAAATGCGAAGAGATGTGCGCACATTCCTGTCTGTTTTGAACACAACAGCGACATGAAGAATAGTGCCCGGGGCGTCACGATGACTTTGAAAATTTTGTGTGTGGTTTGAAAATCTTTCACCAAAAAGCTAAATCCCTATCCTTATAAAAAATCAATTTCATTCGTTTTATGCTTGTACTCAGCGTTCTACACCCAAATCTACAGAAAAGTATGTTTATTTAAGTCTTGATAATATATCAAAGCGCATTAGTTACTGAAGTTGGCAGGCAAAAAACTTAATCCTATATATCCATTAAATTATAACTTATATCAAATATGCATTATAATGATCATATATAGATACGAATAAAACAGACTGAATGCCCCGTTCTTGTTATTTAGATGCTATACTATGTAAAGCAATATGCCACCGCGAAAAGGAGAAGAAATAAATATTTTCGATTCCTTGTTAGATATAATCATTATGGTATAGAAAAGCATATAATTGCCAAACAGGGCGTCAGCCAAACGATGGCGGGAAAGTTGATTGTCTCACGATAAAAAACCACAATATCGTGATGTGATTCAACTTTTTCGATTAAATAACAAGGAAAATTTTTAATATTATCAGCTAACGAGATAAACTAATACTAAGAAACATGATTCACGTCAATTTTATACAACTCATTTATTTATTTTTGCTCCCGTTGGAAAATTATCTCATTCCTATAAAAACGAAATTACCTGTGTATTTTGCACTAGATTGCACTAGATACTAAACGCGCATTTAATTTGTAATTTTATGTTCTTATTCACTGCACGTGAAATTGTTAAGTATACTTTTCAAATTACATACATATAATTTGCACATCTGCGAAATATGAGCTTCAACTCAACAAGTTAAATAAGCAGTACACTTTTTGAAAATATAACGATAAAATTTAGTTATTTCGTGGCAGTACGGTTGAACTTGAGGATCGGGTCGGTTTTGAAGTGACGTCACGGTATTGGCTAATATTTCACGGGAAGAATCAATCATGTCACGAAGGGAATTCTGTCAAATAAAAACTTTGTCATCACCTATCATAAATCTACTGTCATAAACATATTAAATATGATTCAAAAATAACGCTACTGTTAATTGTTTATGAGATTTATATTATGCTCATAACTATGAACTGGCCTTGAACTTATATGCTTGATTATGAACTAATTCCAGAATTCTGCATTGATTTTAGTTCGGAAATATGTATCGCTCTTATCGTGACATGCAGACAACACTTTTGTGCACAAATTTCCCATTCGAAGTATTCATAAAAATCCCTTAATAGTTTTAGATCATGGCGATCATGATAACGCCTTCCTGGTTACGTTATCATATTTCTTCCCTATTCCCTGCTGTTGTTCAACCTATTTCAAGAATTAAAAATTTTACATTTTTCAACTTTTACTCGTCACGAGAATGTTTCTATCGTGTTAATGTATTCCCGCCAACCAATCAAAATTCGCCTCTTTTGAAACTTGTTTTATTCGACGTGCAGAAAAGATCATTTTTCATAATATTGTTTGGGCGAAAATAAGTCATATAGGAAATTGACTGTGAGGTTAAAGCTTGAATTATATCTTGTTTACCACTGACATAATGATTCATATTTAATTCTTCCGTATTTTGTTTGTATTCGTTATACACCTTTTCTTACAACATGAAAACAGCCCATGAACGTCATGCGACCAAAATTAAAATTATTCAACGTACTTGGCTGTTTTATTTAAGCAATGATATCATGTCGTGTCTAACTGTTCTGTCAAACAAATGTGATTAAGTATAAATAAGGCATAAATAAGAAGGAAGATGTTGGTGATGAGATTTTTTTCTGGATCCTTCTATTCAGAGTTGAATTTTGAGCTGAACAATTTACGTCACAATTTGGACTTTTTTTTCATATTAGTTTCGTGAATGATAAATGTACGTAATCCATATATTTCTAAAGCGACTGAGTAAAAAAAATAGCCGGTGTGATAAGATACCAGGTACCGTGAAAAGGTTAAACCACAAGTACTCAAGTACGAGGAAGCGGTATCGCCATAAATGCCATACGGGGCTTTTGTGTGCAATTTCATTTTTGTCAATAAGTTATAACAACCAAAGAGGTCTGCATTTTGAGCACCTTTTTAATATTTATTTTCTTCTTCAAAATATATAAAATTAAAATAGTTAAATTATTCCGCTTTGTAGTTACACGTACAGTTGATGCGATTTATTAACGAGGTACTTCGAGTTGCATTCTACATGTAATGAATGGTCAGTCCAAAATCCTCCATCGAATATCTTTCCGGCTGAAACTGAACGTTACAAATATCACTAAATATGGTTTTACGCCAACGTACTGCATTAAAAATGACATAATTATCTCCGTGAGCTTTATGATTATTTATACCCATTCAATTACTAAGAAACACATGATCATTTTGGTTTATTTCAAAACTTTCAGAAAGTTTTTTGACCTTTATCTCAAGTATATATTAAGTAGTTTTCCAATTTATTTTCAGTTAGGAAAAGAAAGACTTGAATGAGGTCATTTGGTGCAGCTAGGTGCAAATTTTAATCAATTGGATTTGAGTAATTCTCGTAAATAGATTGACAAACTTCGGATTTCATATTCATGAAGATGAAAAAAAAAACGTAAAATATAACAGTCTAAGTAGTGCGCAATTCATGAATACGACTACTCGTGTTAACCACAAATTATTTGTAACAAAACTCTAAACGTGTTCTTCGTAGCCCAAAGCATGTTGTGTTGGCTTTGCTTGGCATCTCCCCGTCAAAATCATTCCTCCGGGCGTTACGTCCCACGCTTCATAGCTAGTTTGACCGATATGGGAATGTGATAAATAGATGGGTTAGTGAATGGGACGAGATATTCCAGTTATTAGTGTGAAAGTCATTTAAACAGCATTCAGGCCTAACAAGTCTGAGCAATATTTTAGTATATCTCTGCAAGCATGAACTAACGATTAGGATTCCTTAATATTTCCAATACAATGATTTAAATCTCTTGCTACATTGCATTAAATTCTTAGGGCTACATATATTTTTTTTTAAATCAAAAACTGAAATTTGTTTTAGTAAATAATCTAAGTTGAAACATCGAAGACGGATTTGAATCAACATGATATTAAAGTACATCATTCTAGTATCAGCATTGTACATCAGCGAAAGTGAAGCAGGTAAGAATTGTTCAGTTTTTTTCCAAATGGTTTCCACATGGCGAAAAATTTGAAATCCCCGTCGTAGGATTTTTTTTTGGTAGCAATATATGAGATTTTATCGTCTCATCTATTCAAATCACTAAATGAAACTTAAAAACCAGAGTCTGATTTTTGCTTCGGAAATTAAACAGCATAAGTCAATCAAATACCAATTATGTTTTTATATTTGAATATGGCGCCAGTTTTAAAATAGTATGTGCGGATTATGTTTGTTATAGAATATTTTCGAATAATCTAACAATATGCCTAAGTTAATTTTTCCAAAGATGTTTTTCATTCACGTGCTTCAAACTGACACATGCGTCATTCTGCGGTAAAGTTGCGATAGCTCCGAGGTATTATATTTACGTGAATGTGATTGGTTTATTACATAGATAAATAAGACCTGTCGTTCCAGTTTAATAACATTTAGATTGGTGGGATATTGCTAGTTTAGTGTAAATATTCCATGTAATTTGTATCCTATCTCTGTGGAGCGTTAAAACAGTGAGAGTATTACCTTTGTTACATAGCACTACAAAAAGCTTTCGAATTCTCGCTAGTAAATAGGGAAACTTCGAATGAAAATTATTGAATAAACTTATGATATCAAATAAAAAGACCGAATTATTAAAAATTGCCGAATAAAGTAAATAATGAATAAATGTTTTCGCACATTGACCATTTTAAAAATTTACTTGAGTCTAAAATTGTACATTTGAATTGACATGTGTCACACATCTGTATTTTTAACAAAGGGCATCTAATGAACGTTAATATATTTCACTATTTTGCATCCTGTTAAAAAGGAATTTCGAGACGTGAAAAATAAATAATTGTAATACTAGAACAAATAGGTACTACAAATAAAATGCAATTTATTGCACTTAATTTTTATTTTTCAACAAGTCGTATCCAAGTATATGATTATTTGAGACATTGGAAAGAAATCAAGGGTTTGCTTATGCGTAAACTTTGGAATAAATATATTTACTTTTTGTTCTAACTATTAATATGTCAAAGTAGACCAAAAGTACCAGTCAAGATGTTGTATTACTACGTGTTCATTATTTCCTTACTATGTACTGCTCAAATCAACGCAGGTAGGCTGCACTTTTATAAGAAACTTAAATTACCTTCGGAAGTACTTTTCTACTCCTACTATAAACTACTATTTTCAAAACTTAGGTGCTGTGGAAGAAAGGTCATCATGCAAAGAAATTATGTCACCGCCGTGGGGTGTTGTGAATTGCTCCAACGGCCAAGAATATGGAAGTGTGTGCAAATTATCGTGTGAGAAGAACTATGATCTGGATTTCACAACTGATACGTCAATCGTAACTACATGCATAGAGGAGACTGGTGAATGGTCCGCTAGCCCATGGTTTAGTTGTTCACGTGAGTGTTGCAGTATTTAAAGCATCATAAAAAAGTTCACTTAATGATATGGTACAACATTCTTCTTACAAAACTGCATCGTACTCATGATTTTCCTTACAGAAATATATATATATGGAAAAATCTGATAACTCTCGATAAAATAGTGAGTCCACATACGCTTCTAATGAAGTTTTCTTTTATATCATGCTGACAAAATTTTATATGATGTGACGCGAAATTTTTTGATGAATAAAGCAAACTTCTTTGTGTCGCCTTAAAAAGTCGTCAAACCTATAGATTTGTAATAAAAACCTATTTTGAGATAAATACTATATAGTGTGAATATTTTACTAAATATATTAACTCGCAACTTCAGGTCAGTATTGCAGGAAAATAGTCAAATCCATCGGTAATTGTTTCAAAAAAGTAATTAAACAACAATTTTATCTCCAAATAATATAAAGAATATTCAATAACTATGGACTTCAATTTATTATGTAAAGTTGCCTGGGTATATAACATTGGAATGCTATACGAGTTGGCGAATGAGTCACGTGTCAGGTCGGCATAATGTAGAGTGATTCTATGACTAGGACAATCCATTATTCGATTTGATTTAGATCTCTTTTTACGTTATGGACATGCAACTTTTAACAATTTTGACCAATTAATGGTAAAAAAATAGGTGAATAATTGAAATAGAAACCTAAAATCTCGAATTAGAATCACTGCTGTTCAAGCGAGGCAATACAGCATTTGTGCTGTGTACGTGGTTTAGCAATAGTTGCAATTTGAGAAATTAAACTGCTTTTTAAAGTGAATTTTATAACACCGTTCTGTCAATTCCTAGGTGTCTTATTCCACTTTATTGGAAAATTAAAATGTATAGCGTTGTTTCCAATATTTGAGATGCGTCCAAATTTCATTTTTTAATATAAATTTCAAATAACTGCAAAAATTTGGTAATACTAATCAATACTATTATCGCAATTTTCATCGAAGCAGTGTGAAACTAATTTTCTGTCTATGATTCAAGAAAATACACACCGGGATCTAAACTATGGTTTGTTGTCGCGCCCTTAGGGTAAAAACGGAATGTGAATATAATCATTTCTATTTTTAGCTGTACGATGTTTTCCGAAGCAAGAAAAACCGTTGAATGGAGATTTGGTATGTTCAGCAACCAACCTTGCTCGTAGTCTGTGCGCGTTTTACTGTGACAATGACTACGATATGGTTGGCGTTGACACAGACAAAAATTCTTACCTTGAGTGCGTTGACGATGGTGATGGTGATGCAATAGGAAAATGGGCAGCTGCGCAAGATAAGCCCGTACCTCCAACAACCACACAAATGTGCCAACGTAAGTGAACTAACACACATGAATATATATCATTGGCTCATATAAATATTACGTGATTGAATTTCTCATACGTAGCTATATGAGCTACTGCAGAAGTTTTATTACTTCGTGGCGGCTTTGGTCTGCTGTCAACTTGTATTTTGGTATTCTTCTTTTTGAATTCCGACGGTATAGTAAAGTATACATACTATGGGATGTGAGTTTGCTATAGTCCCTAAAAAAATGAGGCTCGGAAACTTTCATTCATTAGCTATCTGCTATATAGATAAACCAAACTGAAAAAAAGAAATAGTGTTTGAAAGATGTTGGCAACTAATTACATCCGATGTTATTTGCTTTCAGCGAGAGTATGCAACAATACGATTGAATATCTGCCCAACGGAAAAGTAATATGTTCGGCCGGAAACGTTGCTGGAAGTTTTTGTGTATTTATTTGTGACGAAGGCTATGATTTGAAAGGAACAACAGAACCAGTTTTGTTTAGCAGCTGTAAGAGCGATAAAGAAAGATATGATGGTTACGGAGAATGGACATTGAAGAAAACTCCAGTTTGCAGAAGTAAGCATTGAGCAAAAAAATCAAATACCATAGAAGCGATGTAAAAATGTAACACTTGTTATGGAAAAATATGAAGCTCATTACAGCCGAATTCTCGAAGAGCTGTGAGCCAAGGGCTTCAGGAATTTTACTGTCATTGCTATATATAATATTGCCATTAAAAAAGTTAAATAAACGACAATGATATGAACAGCCAACTGTTTTGTTTTTAGAATGCAAACGCGTCAAAAGTCTCCAACTCATAGCCTTGATCCACGGAGTGGAGGGTGACAGTGGCAGCTATGCCCTTGCAAACAGAATTGTTCTTCGTACTGCGACGTAAGTATGACTATTGAAAACTGTTTATGAGGTCCAACGCATACTATATGAATATAAAGTCAATTTGTCTTTATTTTTTAACTTTTGTGATTCCAACTTTTCTGTATAGCTTTTTACAACATTTCATAATGACGAGAACATTTCAGAAATAAAAATAAATATATTTGGTATAAAACAACTGTTTGTCGTCATCAAACGCATCATCTATTTTTTTGTTATCTTGCAGTGCACTAGAAAGAAAATACAGATTTAAATCGTCTGTGAGAGTCAACAGATATTCCGATAGAGTTGATACAAGCAACGAATTTTTTACCTCGGAATTTACAATTAAACGCGATAAAAATTTGATGACTTCAATGCCCTACCCCGGTTCAGGTTTGCATTTTTTTTCTACTAATTTGTTATTTATCGAAATGAGTTAGAACGTTTGCGGGCGTCAATGTTGACTAATATGATCTGTATCATTTTATATGTTTTAGGAGAAAGTCTGGAAAAAGCTTTGTATCACGTTAAAACCAAACTTGACGATGAAGCAAGTGTTAGAGTAGCAATGATCATTGCCAATGGATTTACGTTGGATGCCAAATCACAGCAAATGGCCGAAGACTTGATCAAGGACGGAGTATTGGTAATTTGTTATTATTTGAATATATATGTCTGGCTGCTATTTTTGGTGGATAATCGTTGTTGAGATTCTGAAGCATTCGGACTCACTTTCTAAAAAGATATTGGATCGGACCAAAATGGATCGTTTTGTTATTATCATGATGTTGTAAAAAATCGCCGTTCTTTTCAACAACTACACCAATTGCTTTAAAAGGGTCAAAGCTTGTTGTTGCCGCTAGAAGGCTATTATTACTTGTATCTATTTTAAAAATGTTTGTGTCGTCTATGGGATTCGTTTTTCACTTCAAAGTTTTGGGTGATGACGTCATCAAAATTGAAATTTTGGGGTCGTGGTTCCGTTATCACATCTCAGTGGTCTGAAGTTCAGATTACCGGTACTGTGAAAAATTTGATAATACTTCGTTTTTGCCTCCGTGTCCGTATATTTGAGCATTGTTTTTTTGTTTTCTTGTAAATCAGATTTACGTATATCGCATTTCGAAAAACGGAGACGACAGCGGCTACAGTAAAGCAGATATGGTCAAAATTGCGGGATCCGAGAAAAGAGTTTTTGATGTGAAATCAAGAACAAATGTGGAAATGTTGAAGGCAAAAGTAGCAGATGAAATTGCACAAGTTGCAACTGAGTTGGGATGCAAGAACTAAATATTTTCATGCGGAAACCACGATCAAGTTTAGGAACTAGCGACAGAAAACTTATCATCATGCTAAAATAGAAAAAAAAATTTAACTTTAGAGAAATGATCAATCAGATTTTTGTGAACTTCTGTCAAAATCATTTAAATTGGAGGCATTGCTTGATTAGGGCTCAATGATGTTTTTTTGTCGATTCTTTCAAAAGCTCACAAATCTCAGAAGTATAAAACTTCAGGATTATTATTCATCAAGCTTACCAGGGTGGCAAATTTTTCATAAAATGATATATATATTATGAGTATCTAATACCATGCTTGATCGTGTTTTAGTAAAATTTTACTTTTCTCATGCTTTTTATGTAATCTATATATATAGTCGATTTGCAATATGACGTGATTTGTAAATGTGTGCCTAGAATAAAAAATATCATGAAATCAATCAATTTCAGTAGCAACATTTTGAATAAATACCGATATCACATCATTAGTTTTTGTTATATTGATGAAAAATGTAACGTTGGATGAAAGATCAACTAATATTTAATTAAAGAACCCGGTGTGTAATTTTCCTTAAAAAAGGCTGTAATACCAAAAGGTTCGCCACACGGCGGGGACGGCGAATCTTTTTTAATAAATGGGTCAGAAAATATATTTTTATTATTGAAAAAAAGATGGAGGGTCATGGATATTTATCAATGACTGCCTCAAATAGAAACTAGCTTTCGATAGAAAACCCACTGTCATCTATATCTCTATACTCCAACTTCTTTTCAATAAGCTAATATATCAGACATATTCGAAGTTGTAAGCATCTCACGAGATTGTTTTCTCAAACAAAAGAAAATCAAAGTACGACACCCCATGATTTAGTTCATTTGACGACAACATACAACATACACCGAGATTCTCTATTTTCGGCATCAACAGTCGTTGTGTCAGCAACCGACATTGGGGTTACGTCGAGATGATCCCCAAAACAGTGTGTAGGCCTACGTCAGTAACAGAAGAGTCTTGAACTTCCTCCTAGATCTGTTGTTGAAAAATTATCGTGGATTATATGCTTTGGGTATTTTGATCTCGTTGATTGTTCGTTAACAAACAAGGTGGTCGGTAATGATGGTTCTAATTCTATATCTCCAATGTTTGGAGGCCAAACCCAACATGCTCCGAATACATTCGCTATGACGTCTGCACGTGAGGTGCGTGAATACGGCTGGGTAAAAACTCGACCAAATCAGGCCCGCAATGGACTTTTCCCCGACCTTTGACCCCCGAAAAGAAAGTTTTCGAGGATATTATAAGAGTGCCCAGGGTTGCCAGACCCCAGCGATCAAAAAAGATCAAATCAAGACATAAAAAAAAGCCAGAAAAAGCCAACAATTTTACTAAGTACAAAAGCCCCATGATTTGTCAGGTTTTAAGCCCTTGGCAACGTACTGATGATGATGTAGAGCCATCAGTTCATTCAGTGAGGCACACAAATAGAAAGTAAAGTTCCTATAGAACTGTAGAAAGTAAAATAAATACCAAGCGGACAGCATCATTTTACCATTCAATATATACAGATATACAATACAAGGTGCCGCCTCAGTCTGTCAGTATGTAATATACCTACATGTTTCTACTTAAACTTGTGATATACCTTAAAAATTCTCCCTATATCAGTATATCGTGCTTTACTATTGAAAATTTTTTCACTTTTAAAATTTATAAACCATCAGTTTTATTAAAAAATTATTTAACCCCCTGCCGCTCACAGGTAGACCACTGATATCTAATTCAGTAATTTTAGCGTAGTTCACATCGTTACTGCAATTGCAGAACTAAACTAAAGCTCGCATAAACCATATCAGGCATAATGAAAATTAAGTTATACAACTATTTTTTGGAAACAGAAGGTAAAACTGACAAATTACACGCAAAACTATAAAAACGAGGCAATGTTTACAACCCTGCTTGAACATCTGTCTGAGCAGCTGCAGAAACTGCAATTATTCCTTATTGAGTAGGCCTATGGTTAAGAGTTAATGTAACAAACAACGAAATCGATGCTCCAGGAAATCTTAATGTTAAGTAGCTAAGTACAGGCTATTGTTCAGTTGTCACATACTAAATATTGTATTTCATATGATTTTAATAATAGACACTAGAACAGACTTGAAAAAAGCCAAAAAAACGCCAAAAAGCCAAACGGAAATTCTGACCCCAAACGTGTCTGAAAAAAGCCAAAAATGGCAAATTTGGCGTTAAAAAAGCCAATATGGCAACCCTGAGAGTGCCTTTGCGAGTTGGCACCTGTAGAATGGGGTATGTCTTTCACACCATCATTATGATTCATCGCATACAACAATCTGTTTTTTAGTACCGGTGAAGAATTTTGGCCTAGTTCATCACAGATATTTCTACACTAAAGGTCCATGCATGGATGTTTCCCCGAGCATCGATTTTCTTGTTTATAACAATTACAAATATACAATAAGTTAACAATGACGTAACAATAGGAAATTATGCCGCCGCTTAGACACTTCTTTCGCTCAGACAGATATTCAAGCGTGGTTGTAAACAATGCCCCTTTTGGTAGTTTTGCGTGTTATTCATCAGCTCTTATTTATTTTTCCAAAAGATAGTTGTAAATCAAATAAGTTAATTGCCATTATGTCCTTCGGGGACCTTCAGTTTAGTTACAATAATCAAAAACTTTCCGCGATAGACTACCGGTAGCATAAAATTAGATATTAGTTACTTATAAGCGGCACGTAGTTAATTGTTTTGAATGCAAATGATAGATTTGAACATGTGAGACTACCGGTAGCATAAAATTAGATATTAGTTACTTATAAGCGGCACGTAGTTAATTGTTTTGAATGGAAATGATAGATTTGAACATGTGAGCCAGTTTGTAAGCGCCAAACTCCCAAAATCAGCGTTGAAAACTTTGCAATCATAAAGTATAGAGAGAATCTTTCAGGGGTCGATGATGATCGGGGAAACGTCCATTGTCTGCTAGTGCGCAACTGCCATGGACCCAAACAGTGGGTTCAGGCTGTCAGGGGTTGCCTAACATTGGTGAAACAAGTGGCGCATCCAGAGGCCAGTCAGTCATATCCCCTGTGGGCGGTGGGAGTATGGTACCGTATGTGTCCTTAAAATGAAACCCTGGTAACTTAACCTATGCTAACTAGTAATGCATCGAATTCATGCTCAAAGAATTGAAGATAGATGGTTGCGTTTTAATAGCTTTGAAAAAGTTAAATTTTACTGGTAAAATTATTGGGGTTTGGTGGAAGCTTGCAGAATAACGTATGGGTTCGCAAAGATCAAGAACCACTGATCTAGAATGTCCTTGTTTGTCATTTCTTGTGATCTTATACAGGCATAACTTCTATTTAGAATTCGCCTATTTTCCCTTATTTTTCTATAGGGCTGTAGGACCCAGGTAAAGCTAGCGGACAGTTACCAATTTTTCCAAATTTGAACCCGCCATGTTCCACGAATTGATCGCAAATGAAGTGGACAGTTGTCGCGAACTCACTTGGATGCAAAATATGAGGCGATTCGCCCTTTTAGAAACTAACGACAGACCTGAAACATATTAAAATAAAAATGATTAAAATAACACATTTTTTCTCGGTAAAATGAATTATTACTCAGAAGCTCATTTCTCTACAAAATCTAAAATTTAACTGAGTTTAAGCGTAATTTATGCAAGAAATAATTTTTTCTCACCTAATTCATCAATACAGTGTATTTGATGGAGATATATAAAACACATATTGAATTTAAAAAAAATTTCACCATGCGGAAAGTTGGGAAATATCCCCCAATTTAAGGAAAATTTTTAAGAAATCGTCCATTCAACTCAGTTAAAACGTAATTTATGCAGAAATAAATATATTTTCTCATCCAATTCATTAATACAGTGTGTTTGGTGGACAAATATAAAATACATATTGAAATTTTAAAAAAATCCACCGTGCGGAAAGTAGGGAAATTCCCCCCAATTTGATGAAAATATTTAAGAAATCGTCTATTTAACTTAGTTAAAGCGTAATTTATGCAGGAAAGAATATTTTCTCATCCAATTCATTGATACACTGTATGTGGTGGACAAATATAAAATACATATCAAAATTTTAAAAAATCCACTGTGCGGAAAGTAGGGAAATTCCCCCCAATTAAAGAAAAAAATATAAGAAATCGTCAATTTAACTCAGGTAAAGCGTAATTTAGGTAAGATGGAATTTTTTCTCATCCAATTCATCAATACAGTGTATTTGATGGAGACATATAAAACACATATTGAATTTTAAAAAAATTCCACTATGCGGAAAGTTGGGAAATACCCCCAAATTTAAGGAAAATTTTTAAGAAATCGGCAATTCAACTCAGTTAAAACGTAATTTATGCAGGAAAAAATATTTTCTCATCAAATTCATTACCGCAGTGTGTTTGGTGGGGATATATAAAACACATATTGAATTTTAAAAAAATTCCACCATGCGGAAAGTTGGGAAATCCCCCCAAATTTGTTGAAAATATTTAAGAAATCGTCAATTTAACTCAGTTAAAACGTAATTTATGCAGGAAAGAATATTTTCTCATCCAATTCATTGATACAGTGTATGTGGTGGACAAATATAAAATACTTATTGAAATTTAAAAAAAAATCCACCTTGCGAAAAGTAGAGAAATTCCCCCCAATTTAAGGAAAAAATATACGAAATCGTCAATTTAACTCAGTTAAAGTGTAAGTTAGGTAAGAAAAAATATTTACTTATCCAATTCATTAATAATATGTATATCCCTTAATTTGTTTTGGTTCGCCGTATGATTAAGCTGTCTTATCGGCTTTCCGTTCCCGAGATAAATCTCCATGTTACCTAATCTGTCATCAACATTATTCAAGTATTTGCAGGCTAGATCAGAGAACGTCGGTGTTTGCCACGCGCGTGTTGGGCAGCATGATTGTACAATCAAAACTGAGGGATGTGCTGTTTATATATCATCACATGATCATGTTTTTCTATTCGAGTTCTCTTAACCTAGCCTTACAGAGCGAATTCGTACTTCTTAAGTATATTCTGCAAGAAGATGTCTTCAATTCTTCAATTGAAATATCAAACGAAATGGTATTGATATTATTATTACAGATATTTTCAAATCTTTGTTGAATTTCCATTTAACTTTCAGATGGACTAAACTTTATTACTATTGAATTTCTATCATCTCGATTTTTTCTAGATCCTATTGTCACCAAAAATCATATATCAGACTGAATAATTGTGAAACATCTCGATTATTTTGATATTATAGGCGGAAGTACCATTTATACATTATGACGACCTGGGTGTCTTAGATTAAATGAAAAAAAAGATAAGAGGAGGTGTATATTACCTTGGGATGACAAAAATAAGCGAAGGTTACATTCATATAAACCTAAACCACTATGTTTGTTATTACCGGAGCATCACATCACTAGTGACA